ACCTACCCCCCACCCCATCCACCCACCACTCCCCAGGCAGGGTAGGGCTGTTTTTTTTTTTTTTAAGATTTATTTATTTATTATGTTGCCGGGCATTGGTGGTGCACGCCTTTAATCCCAGCACTTGGGAGGCAGAGGCAGGAGGATCTCTGTGAGTTCGAGGCCAGCCTGGTCTCCAGAGCGAGTGCCAGGATAAGCTCCAAAGCTACACAGAGAAACCCTGTCTCGGGGAAAAAAAAAAAGAAAGAAAGAAAAAGATTTATTTATTTATTATGTATATGGTGTTCTGCCTGCATGTATACCTGCAGGCCAGAGGAGGGAACCAGATCTCATTACAGAGTGTTGTGAGCCACCATGTGGTTGCTGGGAATTGAACTCAGGACCTCTGGAAGAGCAGCCAGTGCTCTTAACTGCTGAGTCATCTCTCCAGCCCTAGCTGTGGGTTTTGAAGTGATGTCTGCTATAAGCTGAGGACATTCCTTTGTATTCCTGATTTGTTGAAAATTGGTTTTAATCACAGAAAAGTAATTTTATTTAATTAATTTGGTAAGTTTCCTCATTTTGACTCACTGTTTATATGAAAGTATGGTCAAGGTAGCTTTTTATCAACTTTTTATCAACACCTGATTATATTTAAATTTTTATGGTGAGATAGGAAACCAGGTGTGGTATACAAGCTCATAGTCCTGGCACTTGGGAGACAGAAGGTCAGGAGTTTGAGGGCAGCTTCTGCTACAGAGTAAGTGAGAGATCAGCCTGGGCTATATGAGATACTGTCTGAAAAAAATAAAAGTAGAATAAGATGAGATAGATGAAATGATTTAAATAATAACAGTTTATAATTTATGTTTTTTTTTTCCAGCTCAAAATATATAAGCCCACGGGGCTCAGTGGCTAAGAGGACTTGTTGCTCCTCCAGAGGACCAGCACTTACTTAGTGGCTCACAACATCTGTGATCCAGTACCAGGGGATCCGATGGCTTCTTCTGACCTCCATGGGCACCAAGCATGCATGTGGTACCCATACATACATGAAGACAAAACAGTCACACATAAAATAGAATGAATAAATATACAAAATATATCATCCTGGTATATTATGAAAATGAAAAATGGTAACAACTGTTTTAGTAAAAAAGTCTGGCAGTTAGTTTCTTGTACAAGTGAACACATACAGATGTAGCTCAGTTCCAATCGGTATTTACCCAAGAGAAACAAATACACAGGCCACATCAAGGTCAGTCATAGCAGCCCTATTGATCACAGCCCCAAATTTGGTCTGCCCCAGTGTTCCTCTACAGGAAATGGAAAACCAACCTAAGGTACATTCACATCACGACTGTCAGACTTCAGTTCTCAAACAGCATGCTAAGTGGAAGGAACCAGAGAAAAGAGCCATGCCACAGTGAAGTGTTGGAATAGACAAAGTAACTCTCTTCCCTTTTTTGAGGGTCTAACTGT